CAAGCTGTTTTTATTACTATAGCTCTATAGTAGAGTTTGAGGTCCGGGATGGTGATGCCTCCAAGGGTTGCTTTATCGTATAGGATTCTTTTAGCTATCCTGGGTCTTTTGTTTTTCCATATAAAGTTGAGTATTTTTCTTTCCCTCCCTTTTCTTTTAGTCTTATTAATTGGGTCTTCTGTCTCTTTCTTTTGATTAATTTAACTAGGGGTATGTCAATTTTATTTACCTTTCCAAAAATCACCTCTTGGTTTAATTGAATTTTTTGTCATTTTCATTCTATTTTATTATTTTCTTCCCATCTACTGCTTTGGGATTGGCTTGTTCTTGTTTTCCCAGTGCCTAAAGTTTTACTATCAGGTTGTACATTTGCTATATGTCTGACTCCTTAATGTAGGCACTTAGAGTTACACATTCCTCTCTTAGGACTCCTTTCTTGTATCACATAGATTTGAATTTTCATTATCATTTACTTCTAGGAAATAAAATTTCCTTCTTAATATCTTCAGTGACCCATTCATCATTCAACAGTGTATTGCTTATTCTCCATGAGTCTGTATATTTTCTGAAGTTTCTATTGCTGTTAATTTCTGGCTTTATGCCAGGCAGTGGTGGCGCATACCTTTAATCCCAGCACTTGGGAGGCAGAGGCAGGCAATTATAATAGTATAATTATTATATATAATGAATATTATTATATATAACAGTAATAATTATTATTATGGCTTTATCCCATCATAATCAGGAAGAATACAGTATGTTGTTTCAATTTCCTTGTCTTTGTTGAGACTTGCTTTGTGTCCTAATATATGAGCTATTTTAGAGAAGATTCTATGGGTTGCTGAGAAGAATGTGTATTCCCCATTGTTCAGGCAGAATGTTCTGTAGATGTCAGTCAGGCCCATCAGTTAGTTTGATCTGTGATGTCATTTAATTTCAGTGTTTCTTTATTCATTTTTTGTGCACCTGATCTGTCCAATAGTGAGAATAGGGTGTTGCAATCACACACTATTACTGTTTGGTGGTTAATCTGTGATTTTTAAATCTTGTAGTGCTTGCTTCACAAAACTGGATGAGCTATATTTGGTGGGTGTGATGGTCTGAATGAGAAATGCCATCCATAGGTTCATGTTTTCTAACACATTGGTCCCCATTAGTGGCCCTCTTTGTGGAGATTATAGAACCTTGCAGGTCACTGGGGGCAGGTGTGGAGGGTTTGCAGCCTTGCCCCACTTCCTGCTGTCTCTCTCTGCTTCCTGTGTGGGGTTGAGCTGTGATCTCTCAGGGCTGGTCCTGTAGCCATGCTGACTTCGCTGCCATGAGGGACTCGAGTAACTCTCTGGAACTGTAAGGCAAAGTAAACCCTTTCTTCTATAATTCGGCAAGGTGAATGTAGTTATTATAATGGGCAGCAGAGACAAGCAGTGTCCATGGTGGCCTGACTTGTATGGAGCTCTGGTACTAGCTGAACAATCATAGTGTTTCCAGGAATGAAGTAGATTAGATGCCT